GTTGCCCAAACCAACAATCTCTCCAGCAACAGCAAAGATGAACTCCCTCTTGTTTGCCCACTGGCCCCTCTCCTGGATCTTCTGCCCCTTCTGCTCCAGCCTGATCCCCTTTACTGAGAGCTCACACTGGGCTCCTGTCTGCAGATCCCCGGCCATCCCAGTTGCAGCCCAGTGAAATATGACTGCTTTAGAGAACAATGTATTGGGAATGAGAAAACAGGAAAGTTTCAGATACTGAGGCTCTAGATCTAAACTGAGCAGGCTTGAAGCATATTTATAATTATTTTAGAAAAAGTGATCCATGGTAGGCTTTAATGAGCCAAGAAGATTTTTACAACCAAAGGAAAGAACAGGTACTGTATGCTTGGATCAGAAAAAATATTATATCAATCATTTTGTAACAAATTGCTGATTCAGAAAATAGAAAACAGAGCAGGATAAACAATAATCAAAATAAATAAATATAACCTCCAAATGTCAAAGATCTACAGAAGTGTTGGTATATATCACGCTGCAACTCACAACTGGCAACCCACTGAAGCAAAGCAGGTGTGAACCTGGTCAGTTCCTGCATGGGAGACCTCCTGGGAAAAACTAAGGTTGCTGCTGGAAGAGGTGTTAGTGGAGCCAACAGGGGGCGCTCACCCTGTGGCCCATGTGGGTCCTAATGCCCCAGTATAGTGGCGGGGACATTATTTTGTAAACAAGTGCCGTCCTTCGGATGAGATGTAAAACCGAGGTCCTGACTCTCTGTGATCATTAGAAGTCCCAGGGTGTTTCTTGAAAAGAGTAGGGGTGTTTTCCCAGTGTCCTGGCCAATTTTCCCATTGACCTTTACCAATCATAGCCTCCTAATAATCCCCATCTATGAATTGGTTTCATTACTTTGTTCTCCTCTCCACTGATAGTGTGGTGAGTGTTCTGGCGCACTATGGCTGCCATTGCATCATCCAGGTGGATGCTGCACATTGGTGGTGGTGGAGAGGAGTCCCCATTACCTGTAAAGCACTTTGAGTGGATTATCCAGAAAAGCACTATATACGTGTAAGCAATTATTATTATTATAGTTTGAGATACAGTACCTGAGTTCTTTATTCACTGGCTGAGCTTTGGTGAAAACATAATAAATGAGAGGCAAACAGGAGAAGCAAATAATTATAAACAATAACCCAGCTAGTTGGCTCCCAACATACAAGATATGCCAGTTACAAAACAGGACATCTCAAAGGCCGTGGAGGCCACAAACTGAATGGGAATCAGAGACTAAAATGAACTAAAGAAATGAA